GCTTAGCGGCAGAGCGACCTATCGGCGATGGCCTCCCATGGGACTCCTCCATGCCTTTTCGTGTGATTCCGGGCCGAATCGACTTGACTCCTCAGAAGCTGCTCTGGGATCAACTGCCTCGAAGATGTAAATGTGCTAGGCGCTAGGAGCCAAGATTTAGTATGACATCTGCACTGCGTCTGAAGCAGTAGTAACGTCTCTGCCTTGTTTGAGACTTTGAAATTGCGATGGCAGCGTCTGCTGACGAGGCTGCGAGAGCCTGTGAGTCTTGCCAGAGTGTCCCCTCGGTTCTATGGAGGACCTGATTGCGCGGATTTCGAAGCTGAAGCAGGCGCCTGGAGATTGAGAGGAAGCATGTTCAGAGGTCAGATAGGTTTTATGACTACGGACTGTGCAAGTCATTCCCGTACATGGATTGATGCTAGTGCCAGTTGGTCGTGCTTTCGACTTGCACACAGACTGAATTGCCTGCCGCACGATCTCGCGACCAATCCTCGCGATGGTGCATGACAGGAGTTGTGGAGCTTCAGACTTGCTGGCAGGATCTGAAGTCGAAGAAGTCCTTCGTGAACGTGCGTGCCTTTTTGTTGAACCTTTCAACGACGCTCTTTTTGTGCGGCGCGACCTCTGCGAGGCCTGCGCGCAGCTGACGGAGATCTCAGAGCAGTGGAGCCAGGCGGCTGGGAGCCGTCGGAGCCTTTCGGGCGGAGCCTTTCGCCGAGTGCGTTTTTCAGGACGCCTCTGAGCCCAGTGTGCAGGCTTTGCGTGAGGCTGGGTCGGGCTCCCCCTTTGCTGGGCCCCGCCCCGGGCTTTCGCCAGAGAGCGCAGGCGGCCAAAGCTGCTTTCACGGCGCTCCAGACTCGCTTTTCAAACCCAAAGCCTGGGACTTAGATCGGCAGCTCTGCTTCCTCGTCAGAATTGCAAGTGACGGCGTGTCTACGAATCTACGCTCCTTGCTTGGGCTGCTTGGGGTAATGTAATGGGTTGTGCAGATGATCAATCCACGAGGTTCTGGCAAGCTGGGCTCGATCTCTTCCTTGCCCTCGATTTCCACGTGCCCATTGAAGATGCCGGCAAGTGGCGGGATGCTGCCGTGGAGGTCACTGCGGCTGAGACGCGACTGTTGGTCCAGCCATCCGACGGCAGGAAGTTGACGACGAGGCGCGAGAGCGGGCAAAAGAACAGGCCAGGCATGGCCAGGCCCTGGGATGCCCTCGGAGTTGCCATAGGGGTTCCCACTGCGAGGCCCGTCTTCGCCGCCTCCAGGAAGACAAGATGCACAACAAGGGCCAATTCGGTGGGGGGTCTAAGTGTTGAGTGGCTTTCTGTGTATTAAAACGAAGCAAAAGCAAGCAAGTTCCTCGGCCTCGGACGTGTTGGTTGGGCTTTTTTTTGTTGGAGGCGACGCCGCGACGCCTCTCTCCCTCGGAGAGCTCCTCGCCTCGCAGGGCATAGTCCTGGTCGAGGAGGCGTCTATACGGCCGTTTAGGGTTCAAAAAGGGTTCGGGGTTTTGGGGACACCCAAGAGTCAGAGACCCCCTCCCGTTTTATCGCAGAAAGGATGACCGCCGTCCGGGCATGTCGCGGGATGCCCGGGCGGAGCTCCGCGTGAAGACAGTCCTGGAAGAGGCCAGGGAACGGGGACGCCCTTTCGAGCTGTGTTCTGGACGCCCTTAGCTTCAAGTCCTTGTCGTTGTTGTCTTGGCATGGGGGTCGAGAGATTATTCGCTTCACGGATTGGCTGTTTCGCCCAACAGCGCCAGATGCATCGAGCTGCCGGCAGACACGATCGTGCATCTCGAAACGCGTCGTCGAGTTGTCTGAGGGCAGAGCACACGCACTGGGAGAGCGAAATTAAGCGACATGCAGTTCAATGCAGTCCGAAGTCACATGCGAGCAGCAAGATTGTATTCCTCGGTGTCTAACTGCCCATGAGTGGCCAGAAAAGGTATGTCTTTTCGACCCATTCTTAGCAAATGCCACGTTTCGCTGGACAAGCTCCTTGTGCCACGATTCACCGGCATTTTGCAGCTAATGTCATCACGTGTAACATTGGCCCGGCTCTGTGCCACTTCCGGTGCCAGACCGACGAGATTTCAAATTTAATCCCTATGCCCTATGCCAAACTCAAGATGCAAACAGCCTGCTCTTGCAGAAAACCCACGCTGTTGATCCTGATTGTGCCATTGCGTGCTGCAATCTTTGCTTTGGAGGCAGCTGTACTGCAAGGTTGTGGGCATGTTAATCCTTGAACGAGCCCTGTTATGTTGATGGAGTAAGATGTCCTCTCGCTGGGTCGCCCGTTTAACGCTGTGGAGAGTTGGGGGTTGATGTCACGGCTCTGAAGAAACCAGACACACCCAAGTTTGAGCATTTCGTTCGCGGATCAGAGCCTTGATCGCTGGACGCAAAAGCATGACCCATGGGTTGGCACAGATTGCTTTAATGTCTGCCCGCTTACATGAAGATGCGGATGTTCTGCTTTTGCGGTGGCACTGTCCCATGGTCGAGTTCTGCGTTCAAGCTTGCCCAGCACCTTGAAACAGCGTGCTGAATGGCCGCCACATGCCAAGAACACGCTTATTTGCAGGAGCTTATTTGCAGGAGCAACATCGGTCAATCTTTCCTTTCAGCCTGGCCTGCAATTGAAATTCATGCCTCTCGCTTGCTTCAGCAGTGGATGGCCATGGTTGGAGACCTAACTTCCTCCTCTCGTCTTGCTCCCAGTGACGACGGCACCGAATCCCGAATGAACATGGGCTTGCCAGGATGCTGGATCTACGTGCAAGCCAAGCAATCTCGCCGGGTTGATAGCCTTGACTTGCCATTTAAGTGGAGTATGCCTGTTGCCAGAACAGCACTACAGGATTTGGGTGGTAAGTCTCTTGAGTGCGATCTACGGCTTTTCCTTCTTGAGTCATTGGACATCAGTGCACTGCCCGATGTTGTGAAAAAGCCGCACGGGGCGAACCAACTAGACTGGCCTTGTTTTTGGAGGCAGGGAGCGGGGTCTGGATTCTCGAGCGATTTTATTTTGTGAAGGGCGGAGGATGGCGAAGGTGCGGGGTGGGTCGGGTGCATGTCCCCCCTCCTCGGTGTTTGTTCGGGTGCTACATTTCCTTCCTCCTGTGTTGGGGCAGACCCCACTGCAGAGAACTATCGCGCCAAGGGCCCTGAAGCTTCCGCATCAACGAAGGAAAGCTTCTGTGTTTCACGAACCGCTGACACGAATCCAGCTGAGCACCTTCGGCTCTTTGTAAGACAGAATCGGAAGCATCCATCAACAGCAGTGCCGATCACATGCCGGCAGATTGAACATGCTTGTGAGCAACTCCAACGGTTCACAACACTTCGAGGACTGCGTTGTACAGCTCTCTTAGGACAAAGAAGTCGGTTGATTCGAAGCGAAACGAACTGGCAGTGTAGCTAGTCAAAGAATGGGATTATGCTGTTGAGATCTTTGGACGGAACCGGTTTATGCCCAAGCTTGTCAATGTTGTGATTGATTTCTTCGAACTGCTGATGTTATTCTGCAACGATGGCTGCAGGCACATCAAGGGATTTGGAACCACTGAAAGGAAGACAAGCGAAACTTTAGAGAAAATAATCTCACCTTCACGGAAGCAGGTGAAGGAGTACAACCAACACGGCCGTAGTCGGTGTGTCCTCACGGTCAGTTCGAGGTATCGCAGAAAACAAGCATGAACTTGCTTGCGGGCCTGTGTGCTGCTTGCAGGCTCGTCAGATAGAGCTGCGAATTTCCGTGGCGCTTTTCGAGAGGATTTTGCCCCGCGCGGGTTTCGCACATCGTCGTCGTCGTCGTCGTCGTAGTCGTGGCGTAGACGCGAAGTAGGTGTAGGAGCAGGATGAGAAGCAGGTACTGCAGCCGGCAAGGACGGCAGAGGAGACGGTGGTGGTGGTCGGAATATGGGAGGGGGGGGCCTGGTGCTGAAACTCCCGTGGCCGCAAGACTATCCCTGAACTTCGGATGCAGCATTGGATCTGCAAACTGCAAGTTTGCACGTTTCTTTAGTGTCGTGTTGCAACTTTCGTGCTCTGGCAGACACCAGTTTCTGGCAGGATGTCTGCGTGGTGTGTCAGGAGGCGATGCCCGTAGGCCAGTGGGCCGGAGATGGGTCGGACCAGCGGGGCGCATGTTTCCTCTTCTGCCAGGCTCGAAGGCCAAAGCCATGCCCTGCGGGCACCTCTTCCACGACGAGTGCCTCCTGTCCTGGGCCGCTTCCTTAGGGCAAATTGCCAAAGTTTTGCTTGGCCGCAGAGAACAGTTTTGGACAGGGTTCACAGTAGACCGCGGACTGCAAGACTTTAGCCCGAGATCCGATATGCGAGACTCTCTTGCACTGAGCACAGCAGCAAGTCCCAAAGACCAATGTCTCGGATTTTCGAAGATTCACAAAGCCGGTCAACTGCCGTCCTTTCGTTTTTGGATCCGATCACGTGGTTTGTTGCGGACCTAAAAGCGCCGTAGCAAGCGCAGTGCAGGAGCAGAGCAGTTCGCGATCCCGCCAAGGTGAAAAAAAGCAATTCGTGTCCAACATGTCGTTTCGATGACATGCCCAGCGAAAAGCGTCACTACGATGATGTCTGGCTCTTGGAATGGCAGAGCCAAACAACTGGAAACCGTCTCGAGAAATGCACGCCGTGCGGGGTTGCTTGAGCAGGTCCAGCGGCAAGTGATGCAAAGACAGCCGGGGCTCTACTCGTAGTGTGTGCCACGGAAAACGAGATGTGCAGAGACTCTTGAAGGCTGTTGCTCGGTGTCCACTTGTCTAGCCGAGCTGATCATCGCCATCGCAGCTTTTGCTTCTTCATTTTCAACCCATCTTTTTCCCCGTTTCGGTAATGAGACGGTTGTGGCTCTTGGGAGTCATTCTTACAGGCTGGGGCTTGATGGGGATGGGGCTTGCTTGGGTGAGGGCTTGCCACCTTTTTCTGGGTTTCGGCCCTGTGAAGGCGTGGCGGGAGCTCCATGGCGTCAGATGCTGCCAACACGACGGCTGGACAGCCATAATGGTACTGGTCATGATGGCGGCTGGAGTAATGAGAGCCACATGAATTTCACCAATGCCATGATTTCAGTCGCTGGGCAGCGCTGGCTCTTTCAGGGTCCTCAAGGGTTACTGGTCGTCACTCAACCCGGGTGCCCAGGCAAGGTGCCTCATGGTGTGCCCTGGACTGCGGGACTTGGACCACCAAGTGGACGGGCTTCATGCCCCTCGGACTGGTTTTCAACAGGTCATAGCCTTGGGGCAATGGTAGAGGTTCTCCAGTCCCAAAGCTCTGAGCTGTCGGGCAATTACACGAATTTTTCGCGCTTTTCGGTACAGGACCAGCTTGTCGCGGCAGACTACTCCACGCCGGTGGCGCACCTTGTGACTGCAAAAGACGGTCCGACGCATCCTGTGGTGTTCGTGCCTTCGATGTAGGACCAATGACCCAGACGCTGAAGCCAAGGCTGGCAGACAACGTTGCCCACTATGCCGCTCTGCCTGCAACCCCAACCCCAAGCCCAAGCAGAGTGACAGACCCTTCTTTGGAATAGGGAAGCTTGAGTTTCCTTTGTTCTTCGGCTAGATTTTGGACAGTGGCATGTGCCCATTGCTTTGCATCTCCCGACCAAGTTTGCGGAGCTTTCCAAGATGTTCTGCGACAGAAGGCACAACGGCGCACCAATGGGGATGCTCTAAATTGTGGTGTCAATTCCGAGACTCCTCATGTTGGGTTCTGTGCATTTCGCACTGACATGGACTGAGAAGCTGAGAAGCATTAAGTCCTTCGTTTGGCGGCCGGCTGCAGTTTTCGGCCCAGCTACGCACACCTCGTGCTTGCCGGCAAATGGCGAAGGCATGCTTAAAGCATGCTGCTCTCATTGCGCTCGGCAGGCTTGCCCTCGCCGAGGATAGCTTAGGGCTTAGGGCTGACCTTCGTTGGTGATGTATCGTGACCGAAGCAGGGTTAGGTCTTTCACAAGGTAGGAAGTGATGACTTTGGCCTGATTCCTTTCGCCACCTGAGGAGACATTGGAAAGCCTGGGCATTGGTCCTAATAGCAGGTTGGCTTCACTGTTCGACTCATCGGACGTGAACGCAGACGGTCAACTCTCTGGTGAAGAGCTCCAGCACTTTGAGGAGAGCCACTGCTGCAACGCGAGGCACTTGCAGGTCATGGACCGACCCCTCCTACCTCAATATACCTCAATCCCACTGGGGTAGCTGGAACCGCCGGTCATGGTGTTCAAAATAGGACCGCGACACCCACACATCCAAGGAATGGCAACGACCTTCTTCGTGGAAATGCTCTGCTCCAGCACTTTGAGGTGACGCTCTTTGAAGGGGCCGACTGCTCCGGCCACTGACCTAGGCCGTCACACAGAGAACCCTGGCTCTCTGGTTTGTCAAAGCTGTCAAGCAAAAGACAAGGTCAGAGCCTCGTGGTGCAGAACAGCAGCAGCGAGCAAAGATGTTCGGCGTGCTTTGACGTCTGCAACAAGGAGCACCCTAAGATCAGGCACTTAGTTGGCTTGGGCCGGGTTCCCGAACAAAGCAGGCTCGTTGGTTTTGACCTGGTGCCAGGAGTTTTCTGCGGGCTCCGCGATGTCCACTGTCAACGGGCCCCCTTGGCTAAACGCAGAAGACGGCGAGGCAAGCTTGCCGAATCTGCTCGCAGCTCTGAGGAACGAGGTCTGGAGTGTTGCATCCAACGTGCGGTCTCTGCGAGTCGACTCCGGGGCTGCGAAGGCTTTGCTGGGGTTGTTGTTGCGTAGGGTTCCGAGATGTTTCGCGAAGATCCGGCTGACTGTTGCACTTGAGAGCCTGAGCGACCATACTCTTGTCTGGTGGATAGTCTGCCATGCTCGCGATGTGAGATGCAAGAATCACTGGCAAGGTGGTCCTCAACCTTTGCCTTGGCCGCATGGCACGAGACAGGTCATCAATCTCGCAACAATCGTCCTTGGCCATTGAGCCGAGCGTGTCCCATCCATCCAAGGCACGTACAACTATGGTGTTGCGGGCAATGAGCTCACGGCCGTCCACACCGTTCGGGACGGTTGCCTCAACTTCGGCAGCGCTCAGGACCGGGCATCCGAGACGCCGGCCGAGCATGCAAAGTCATGTTGCGAACCTGACGTAAGAGTTTCGACGACGGCATCATTCGGGCTTGCAAGCCTCTGCAGGCACCCGCACACGTCTCTGCAGTCCCGCTGGACCTCCTCGAGCTTGCCACAGGTGTTTTCCTCAAAGCTGAGCCTCTGCTGAAGGTCAAACTCATGCAACGATCGGAGCCAGCATCCGGCTGCAAAATTTGCTGTCGCAGAGATCTTGCTCCGAGGATGTGGATCCCTTTGACGATCGCCTGGACTCAGCGGAGGCCATGTTGCACTCGAAATCCTGCAGGATTCGGTAGGGTGCCTTGATGAGGCAGCGCATTTGGATTTAGACCCGCTGATCGAATCTGCTGATCGCAATGGCGATTCTTTGTATGCAATGGAGAAAAACCGGCGCCACGCCCTCTGTCAGGTGACAATTTCTTGGAACCCGGTTCTTGTGCTGAAACGGTCTGCACCGGCAGATAGCTGGAGCTCAGGATGGTGTCATGAGCATTGAGGAGTATACGACCCTGTGACCTGGCTCGTGAGTGCCTTCTGAGTGCGGAGTTCCAGCTGCTGCAACGATGCAACATGATCCGGATGCAAGTCCATGTGCATAGGCCTAAGTGCTTATGTACTCAGCAGCAGCGTGCAGTTAGACAGCAGGAGCTTTACCAGCTGCTGTCATTTGCTGGGGCGGATTGTGCAACCATGAGGCTAGTTCATGACCTTGCGCGGCAAGCGGCCATGCACAACTTCATGTCAGCAGAATCCATGCGGGACCGATCTGAACGGGGCACACGGGTTGATCCGGAAACAAGCTTGCACGGGCAGCTGCACCTCGCAGGTGTTGTGAACAGGTATGTCAGCAGAAAGATGAGTTGTTGCCGCGAGTCAAGCTTTTGCAAGAAACGGAGTCTGTTGTCGCTCCACGCCCGTAGTCTTGTCCCTCTGCTGGTGATTCACGGTTGATTTGCTGTGCTGATCTGTGAAGCTCTATGCATTCTAGGGCGGTTTTCTGAATCATACCGGGCACCCCAACCCAAGCTCTGAAGAGCCCCAGGAGGCCGCGCTGGCCGCAGTGACCGCGCAAGCGCAAGGGAGCACCGATCACGTCACCGAGGCTTTAGTGCGGGGTGCGGACATTTTTGGGTTTGTGTCCCGCGGATCATGGACATTATGGACCCCCGTGGCAATTTACGCTGAGGAACACCTCTTCCGTTTTGCGCAAGATGCTGGGTAAGCCCCTGTACGGCCCCTGACAATCTCCACGACCTCATATCTATCCCACCGCATAAGAGAGGCATTCCGGAAGCATTCTTTGAGTCCGGGAGTCTCGAGGCTCCAGACAGAAGGCCCTTAAACTACCCTCCGAAAGTTCTACCAGCTCTGAGCACGAACAAAGGGGGATGTCTCGCCTTGGCTGCAGGCCCAGCGGGACGTTGAAGCTCAGAGAATGTTTGGAACTGACTACCAGCAGGTGGGCAGACTCTTTGCCTCGGTCCGGCTTAGGGCCAGGGAGGAGGGCACTTTTTGTCCTATAGCGTAGTTCGTGTCGTTCTGTGGTTTTCGACAGGATCCCCTGCAAGTTCATAGCTCGCTGGCTTATTGAGCCTGTCATGATGAATGTCTTTTTGCGTAAGTCCAGCATTGGCAGGCCGTAGATCACCCAGCAGAAGGAGTACCACAGCCGGTAGAAAGGGGCCCAAATGGAAACTCTGGCCAAGTTGATTTGACGCGCCATCGCCGCTTAGGAATTGCGGGTCGACTCGCCTGCACACTGCACTGCGGTGTTAAGACGATTGAGTCGCGAGAAGAGATGCATGATTGCCACTACCTTGTTTCAGAGCAAGTCGAGCACGCAAGGAGAGGTGATCGTCTCGGGCGGGCCCGACGGAAGCGACTATGGCGATGTCAGGAGGGAGGGACATGCCACGGCATGAAGACTTCCCACATCGACCCCTGCAGCTTGCCACTGACCGCTTGCCGTGCTTCCCTGGGCCAGGGATGCTTCGCCGGTTTCAGGGAGCTACGACCCACAACAAGCCGGTGACGTGATGATGTGCGTAGACGGGACACTTGGCGCCCTCCTAAATTCGGATTTGTCAGTTCGCTCTGAGCGTCCCCAAACCGGTCCTTTGAGGAAGGATTTCCAGGCCGGATTCTGCTACAACTACTGCAAGATGGACTATCCAGTTGCTACGCTGAACATGTGCTGGAAAAAGGTGGGCCTGCTTGCGACTTGTCACCGGGTGCAGAGATCCTTTTTTGGAGCTTGGCAGGACTGCCCAAGCGGCTGGAGGGAGATCGCAGGAGGGATGTGCAAGAAGAACGGCTTCAATCTTGCCACCAAGGCTCGTCGGAAGGTGTGATCCAAGTGGCAGGAGGTTACAGCAGGGATTGCACTCCGAACTTGTTGACGGGTGCTGTGGCTTTGCAGGCGAAGGAACACTACAACCGAGGGATGGGCGTGCGGCCCTCCACATGTCACGCGGCAGCCGCGCATGCCCCTGTTTGGCTGTTCGCTTCGCTCATGCCGTGACGTTTGTCTGCGATGCCTGAGGCCGGCTGGGAGACTCGTTCGGGCCTGGAGCCAACCCCGACAACGGCAACCGGGATTTCACCGTTGTTATGGTCTCGGACGGGGGAGCACGGGCTGGATGCTGGTCGCAAGACTAGGGAAGTCCACAGCCCGATGTAGGACACGCAGCTACCCTGGTGCTCCGGAGATTTCAAGAGCGACGTCGACTGTGCCGTCCAAGAGAACTGGCGCCTGGTGCAAGGCAGGTCTTTGCAACAGGGCTAGGTCCGCTAGGTGCTGCAGCACGATCCCAAACCTCACCTGCCCGACTTCTGGTTCCCGCCCCGCAGGCATACACGATGTCAGCAAGCTGACGTGGGTCACAGATGGCAACGGCACCTCGCAGGAGGTCGCCGAACCACTAGGCCTGGCAGCTTCAAGAGCTCTGAAGGCCGAAGCTCCGAAGATATGCCGAAGGTGTCTTCATCACTGGGGATCTCACGGCCTATGCGCACAACTGGCAGTTCCGCCTTTACCGCCAGATCTGGGAGACCCGCGCTGAGGAGGCGGGGCGGAAGGTTGGCTCCACGTGGGATGTACATTGCAAGGCGAAGGGCGAAGGCGATTCGACCGCTTGCCTAGGACCGGGACAAGAACATCAAGCTTCCTGTGTGGCCAGGTCTCGGAAACCATGTGCCTTGTGCCGAAAACCCAGGGATAGGTGAGGGAGCAAGCGGGAGCGCCGTGGGCTGAAGCGCCGTAAGTGTCACTGAGGACTATGCCAACAATCTGGAGGGTTGCTGGTGGGTTGAAGAAGAGCTTACGTGGACTGGCTATGGGAAGAACTCCTGTGCTCAGCGCATGCCGCTCGGCAGGAGCCTACGTGGCCCAGGGTTTCAATTTCGTTCGCCCAAGTCCTTTCCGTCCTTCACTCCGACATGCGAAGCCAAGCTCCGCAGCATCCCCCAGCTAGTGATTGCAGCGTTGCTCGCAGTTGGTGCTAGCAACATCTTGCTACCTTACCAAGGGTCGCCTACATGCGGGCAGCAGTCGCAAAGTGCGGAGGGCAGACGGTCGTGAACAACTTCGGTGGCCATGTGGATCACTACGACAAGGCTCGTAGGGCAAAGCCAACGGTAACAGTGCAAGCAGCGGTCTTGGGAAGATTCCCGAACCGATGGTAATGGAGCAGTTTTTCATGTCAGAGACATGCCATGAAAACCCTCACCGAAGTTTCAGATTGATTTTGATGAAGCCTGACCTTGGCTTCACCCTAAACCCCGAGCCGCGGAGGACTCTGCTGCTTACACGGTCCGCTATGGCCGTATCCGCTTCGTCCACTTACACAACTATCCGACCTACCGGCGCAGGGAGCTCACGGGCGTGGCTTCCACCATGGACTTTCTCAAGGACGAGGCCGAGCAATGCAGCGAAGGTCATGATGATCAACAGAACTTTTTAGCAAAAGTCACCGCTCTGTTGCAATCCTTGACCTAATGACAAATCAGTAGTATCTGCATCTTTAATCTCTGATTGGTAGCGGATGCAGTATGGAGCTGTGCCGGGCATGCCACTTTGTTTTGGGCTGTTTTCTTTATCCGGACATGCCAGCCTGCAAAGCATCCGCTTAGAACGGTGGGGCGAGCCTGCCCTTGGTTTACTCTGAGTGCACGCTTCCCATGCCCCTGGATTCTTGGATGGCGGGCCGGCCGGGCTTTCTTTTTCAGAAGGCGTCTCTTTCTTGTCCCTTTCCAAAGGCAGTCGTGTAAATCGACTTCGTCAGTTTCTGGAAGGTGTCCCTCGAACCGCATAGAAAGCCCGAGCAGCTGGTCTAACAAAGAGCCTCTCCCTTGCGAAAGTCTTCCCATCCCGTATGCTCGTATGGTCTCTTGTGATTGAGCAAGGCATCCGAGAGCTGCAGTGTGAACTTCACTTGGCATGTGCGGCCATCAGTTGCCGGTCGCAGGTCGCCGAGGCGGAAAGGACCAAAGACTATTTGGTACTTCTGATCCACGACGTTAACGGCCACTTTGCTCCATGGGATACGGACGACCAGGCTGAAGGGCAGGAAGAACGGGGCAGGGGGCACGGACTGTAGAGGCCACGGCCAAGACCAGGTAGCCTCTGTTGTTTCTTGTGGGGTCCTCGGATTGGACGTCCAGGTGGACCGATACAGCTACTTCTCGGAGGTCGTTGCAGGCTCCCGGACCATCGCAGTGTTCTCTGGACACTTCCATCCCATCGGAGGCATGCGCACGGGCACGTGGGCCCACTTGCGGGACTCTCGCACACAGGAAGATCTGGTGAATGCCTTCGGGGAGTCTGTGCCGTCTCTCCGGGGCTATGCGCCCGACTACTCCGCGTTCCTGGTGACGCAGTGGAATGTGGCGCGATGCTTCTGGAGGTTTGGCTCTGTCCAAGTGCCTAGAAAGGATCAGCCGAGGGGAGATCCTTCCTGGAAAAGCCCCCAAGACGAAAATCAGCAGAACACCTTCCAAATTCCGGACTGCACAGTTGATATTGACTACCAGCCAGCGAATTCCATGATGGTGTCATCCTCTTCAATCGCCCGCTTGGCCCTCAGTCTCTCCGTGTTGATGCTTGCCTCGGTCTTCCGATTCCTCTGAGATTTTTCAACCGCGGGCCTGGCCTGGCCGTGGACGTAGAATCTAGAATAAAGATCGCGTCGGGGCACCGAAGGTGCCCTCGTCTCGTATCATTTTTGTGGGGAGCCTGAAAAATTTTGCTTGCATAGACAGGGCGAAGCTCTGCACCTTGATCAGTTCTCCTCGTTTACAACTATTGCTAATGTGGGCAACATGAGCCCGATGAATGATTATTATCTATTGCTTTTGGATGCTGACTGCTGACGGCTTAAAGAAGCCGTCAGGCTTTGGGCGCCCAGGAGCTCGTGTGTACATATCCAATCACATCTCGCTTCGTGCGGATGTGGCTTACGTATACCCCAGAGAGCCTGCGTAAAGTCTCGGTCGGGCAGGTCAGGGATGCTTCAATGGGAATAGGAGAGTGCGGAAGCCATTTTTTTCCTTGGTTTTCCAACCCTTGACTTTCACGCGGAGCTTGCTCCAGCAGCAGGGTGCTCAACCATTACGACTGCCTGGAGTTTAGTAACTTTAGTATTTATTTTCCTGTCGATTCTTTGCAAGAGCTTCGTATTGGCACTTACTTTTTGGAGAGCCATCATCCTGAATGCAGCACTCCGACAACACAGGCTGAGGCATCCTCAGTATGTTGTAGCGGAGCAGCTCCATCCGCGCTTGACTTCGCGCAGGGACCTCGCAGAATGCATCACGCAGCATGCGGCAGCTTGGACGCCGTAAGCGGATGCAAGGGGTCGGGGAGTCAGGCAGGAGTCAGGCAGGCATCGGCCACCGGGGAATTCCTCTCCTCTCCTGCGTGCAGCGTATAGGGCCGTGTAGGGTCTTTGCATCGAGAAGTATCAAAGCACTTCGAAGGATGATGCTCAAACACTTGTCTTTTTGCATCCCGAGTTTTGATTGCTCGACATCTTAGGCAGAATGTGGCGGTATGCCACCGCCGCATCCGCCGCCTCAGAAACGTCGTCTTGGTTTCAAGATGGGCATGCGCGACTTGGCTTGCGCTTGCAGTTCTTCGGGCTGACGTTGAGGTCTCTTGACTGCGGTTCTTCTGCTCGATTTAGGGTAACGGCACCGTGTACAGGCTGTTCTCGATGCGTAGTTGACATGCTAAGGGAGTCGTCACTCTGATATGTGCGATACTAACATAGCGACAGTTTAGTTGAGACTATCGGCATTTCTAGGAGCATGTGCTGATCCTTGATTGGCCAATATCCTCTAGCGTGCGTGAAGATCTGGTCGTTCTGTGATGTTTGTCGCCCTTTGCGGTTCGGCTCCGTCTGACGTTTGGGTCCCTCATTCCGCACATGCCAGGATATCATCGCCTGGCGCAGGCAAAGGCGCTGTCGCTACCACATCAGGCCCCGGACTAGTGACTAATGATGACCATGTTGCAAGGCACTGTAGGAGCGACTGAAGGGTATGCATGGTAGTGAGTCAGGACAAAATGCAGAGACGAACAACTCAGCACTCTAAACACAGAGGCGGCAAACGGTACAGCACCAAACGGTAGATACATGTCCAAACAGACAAACGAGATAGACGATTGAGACAAGCACGGATATGAGGCCCTGTGTATAGGACTCAGGGTTGTCCTGTTTGAGAGGTCCCTAATAGACTGAACAGATCGGTTGAGGCATCCTCTTTAAGGCATGTCCGGGGTCATCATGGTATATCGATTGTCCCTGAAAGCACAACCCTGATAGGACAGGTTCCATCAGTAAGTAACCACGCAAGCCAACAAACGAGCACATGAACAAACCAGACAAACAAGCACAGATACAATGCGCAAAGAGTTCGTGCATGCGTGATAAAGGCGCATGCTTTAAAGACGGCATAGAGAAAAAGAGTGAGTGTGAGAAAGGGCTGTGAGACAGGCAAGGCACCGGGCAGCCAGCCTGGCCAAGTACATCACGGAGAAGCATCGCACACCAAGCGCATCTCGACAGGTGTAGGGTATGACCTCAGAGCCTCGGCAAAACGCACTGACGAGAGAAACAGGCTGGTTGGTAAGGGAAAGGTTCACAAACACGGCGACGTCAAAGACCTTCGGGACTACCCGCATGCTACGGACATGAAGGCTTGCTTCAGAGCATCCCTCTACTCTAAGTTGGCTGATTTCAAGGTGCCAGTTTCTGCCATGTCTTCTTATATCGAAAGATATCGAAATGGTGTTCCCGCCGGTTTATTCCCGAGCTCCCAGCCATCCCAGGCACGAAAGCTCAAGGTGCGGAAGTTGCGAGTGGCTTCCGAGCGTATGTTTTTTCGGAAGCTTGATCCGAACAGAACATGAAATCTGCAGCATTCTGCAGTGTTTCAGGAGGATTCTTCGGACGGCACTTCGACCAGCGGCAACGAGGAGATGGGGTTTACGTCTTCTGGACATTCACCTCGTACTCACTCGGCGCGAACAACGGTGCTGAGATGTTGAGACCAGGACGGCACCAGCTCCAACACGGATGAGACGGACAAAGAGGTGCTCCGTGCTGCAGTCTTCTAAACGTTCACCTTGCACACTGTCGATGCAATCAGCATTGCTATTTCAGAGACGTCCTGATCAGGATGGCACCAGCTCAAACACCGATGGGACGGACAGGGGCGTGATGCGTGCTCTGCAGTCTTCTGGACATTCACTTCGCACTCGCTTGGTACGGTCCGCGTTCATGTTTCAGAGATGTTGAGATCAGGACAGCGACAGCTCCAAGCCGGACGATGACGATGAGGTGCTCTGTGATCTGCTAGCCAATTCCTTTATGCAAGTGGTTAGCCACGGAGACTTGACAAGGATGATGAACATGTCAACGTGGATGATCGAATGATCGTTGCAGCGATGATGTTGGTGGACGTGGCCCTACATGGCCCTTACGCTGCAGTTCACGATGTCTGTTTGCCCATGAACCGGTGGCAAGACCACCCATCAAACAGTCTGACTGAAAACGCCCTAGGATGCAGTCCATGTCTGCGGCGTGTCCAGGTTGGAGGATGCATGACACGGTTTCGACATGATATGATGATCGTCAGGTTGTCAAGTTGTGGATGACACGGCTGTAGCTGATTACCCAACTTTGCCATGATTTTCTGACCAGTGCTCTCGTTGACAATCCCACCATGGTTGCTTCGTGCGTGTGGCCTACCGCGCACTTGCAGCGGTCCTCGTCCTCAGCCTCCGCGTGAGTCGTAGAGTTGTAGAGTCGTACATAGTCGTAAAGTCTTTTTTTGGAGCAGAGCTTCTTAGACTCAAATTTGGGGGCAACGGTGGCAGCTGAGGAGGACGACCAGAACGAGGCTGGAGCTGGCGAGGCTCGGACAAGGGCCTGCGCGCGCTCGCTTCTTTTTTCAGCGCTGGACCGGTTCCTCCCCAACTTTGGCAAAGCGAAAAAATGCGTACTGGAACTGACCCTGCATAGCCCAAGCCGTTTCCGGGGGCTGCACTGCTGCATTGCTGCCGCAAGCGTTGCGCAGGTACCGGAGCATGAGGAGCACAAGTGTCACGAGGAAAAGTGTTCCATGCAAGTGCATGAGCTCAATGACTTCTTGAATCACACTTCTCTGCGGAACCTCTCCGGCGATGACATGACGGCCATTTGCCTGGAATCGCCCTCAGTTGCAAGTGCAAGCACAAGTGCGAGCACCAGCGGCTGCCGCGATTTCGCGGAGCTAAGATGGGCCTCGGAGTCGAGACGTGTACCTCGTCTCAATGGAACAAAGTGGAACAAGGATTTGAAGAGGGCTGGTTTTTGACTGAGGCTGGATGAACACCAGCTGCTGTGGTCAGGAAGTCCCGAATCCAGCCGATTGGCTTCAGTTTGTGTTCAAGGGCTTCCGCCTTTTGCTTCTTACTCTTGTCGGGTCTGATTGCCATTGTTCACGCCTGATGATCTTGTTACCTCAGCTGCATCAGCTTAGGTGGCGGAGCATGAAATCAACTTGTGGCACATGTGCGAAGGGGGAGGCAGCTTGCATTGTGACTGTCTCTCTGCGGCCTTGCTGCAGCTTACGTATGGTGTTGACCCAGTGCGCGTCAAGGAGAGTTGACCAGCAACACGCAAGCTTGTTCCTGAGCTGGGAGGCTACAGATATGCCCAACTCTGCCACCAGGCGAGCGGAATCTCTGCAAATCTGCGTCACTGCATTGATAGCCAGACCGCATCTCAGCCCGCCCTATTTCCATGGCTCTCGTCGACGGGCTGAACTGGAGCGGAAGAGTGCTCCGAAAGAGTACTCTGTTGCAGGGGCCCGATATGCCAGAGCCGGACATGTGCGACGAGAAGAAGCTGGAGGGATGCATGCCCTTTATTCAAGATGCCATTGAGCTCCTGAACGGCTGCTAAGTCGCAGCTAAAACTGAAGACCCAGCTGCGGAACACGGCGTTTTCGTCATGCCCATTCCCAGGCACGAACCTGACCGGCTTGGACTCCGACCGCAGCCGGCACCTCTGTGCTGCCAGGGACTTAGGGAGCATGGTAGAGCATCCAGTTTAGCTCCGCAGTCATTCGATTTGATGCAACTCAGTTGGTCCACAGCACCGAAGCTTGTGCCTTGTCTCCAAGACAGGGATGTGTTCGATTCTGTGTCAGACTTCTTTCCTGGGGCTCTTAGCTCTTCAGACCCACGTTCACACCGGCACAGAAGCTGTGATGCCAGGCCTGTACACCACCGGCTGCTGCAGCTCTGCCGGGGATCTGTTTCCCGCGACATGACCCAACCATTGCCGGTTCATGCTTACGTATTTGTGCTGCCTAGGATGTCTTGGAGGGCGTCATCATATATTTTCATTTCTCGGACATACATCTCGCCCTTGACTTGCATATTTTCATGTTGGCCAACGGAACAGAATGGTGTGCAGGGTGCAAGGTTCGCCTGCCAGAGCGAATAAGTCGGACGCCCACAGCTATCGAATTCCGCTAGATGGTCTAAAGTCTGATGCAAGGCAGATGTTCAGCTTCACTGGCAGTTTTGCGTCGAACGGAGCATCAGGAGAGCATGCACGACTTTGACCTGAACATGGTGTGCGAGCCAGTGGATTATCCCCCCAGCGCAGTCTGCCGCGAGGCGAGCTTAGTGCCGAAGGCAACTGCGTGTCACCAGCTTTTGCATGCAGGATCCCCGGCATCCAGAGCCGCCGCATCACGAGGACGCCGTCAGGTAGATCTAGTGTAGAACTTGTGGCATCTACGGTATCCCGCACGAATGTGTCCAGCACCAACTGGTCACTAGCAGCATCCGAGTAGCGTCGGCGCCTGTTCCTGCGACAGCTGCTAATCCTTGCACATCTCATGACAAAAAGACGCGGCAAATTTGAAGCTACGTTTGGGCAGCTGATCCATGCGTTTTTCACGTTGATCATTGGCTCTGGACCTGTGAGGAAAAATGCGATCGCGAGCAGCTGAAGGACTGCTACAGCTCGACGTGCAAAAGAGTGATTGGACGATCCCATGCTTGAATTCTCCTGGCCATCAAGGACTGCGACAGATACATCACAGAGCTGAGCCACATGGTCAACATGAGCAACAGTACCATGGCGTTAAGATCCCACACTCCCGTGTCCAGAGATGCCAAGTCCATGGGTTCGTTGACGATTGAGGCACCACTATATCGGGCTTCACTATGGACGAGATGAAGGACATGTGCTATGCCAGGTCCTCAGAGCAGCCACCGGTTTCCTTCACTGGCATGGTTTGCATCTGACTTAAAGTCTCAGTGACCAAGTTCGCTTATGCCATTGAGTCGTGCCACTTGGTAGCAACGAGCCGTGGCCGTGCTGTTCCTTGACCTGTCGGCTTGTTCTCAGCAAGTAAGGCTTTCTGGTGACCGGATGCTGTGAAGACGCTGGTGAGCTTGTTCCGGTGCCTCGGCACTCAGTGACACACACCGAGACAGCACTCCGCCAACGTCTCAGGTGCATCTGCACGAGATGAATGTGTCTGGAATCTGCCATACTGCCGGATACAACTACGAATCTGGCATGCTGTGCCGCTCTGAGGCAAGGGGCTACGAAACGTGTTTAAGCTGGTAGAAGCAGGTGGACTGGCAGGGCCATGGATTGCTGCGGCTGTTGATAGACTGCAACCTAGTTCTGCAGCAGACTTCCGGAACCATCCTTCCAACGCCCAAACCCGGGAATGCTTGGACACCTGGGAGGAAGATCGTGATCACAGCAAGGACCGGACCCAGGGCAAGCAGCATGACAGCAGTGTGCGCAGCAGCCAGGACTAGGATTGTTTCCCAGTTAGCCGATTTGGAGGATGAGCGTAGTGATTCAATTGATTCAGTCTCTCTTTCCACCGAGCATTAAGCCGCGAAGACCGCTAAGAGCCCAATGTGTATGATCAAACAGTCGAAGATGCAGCGCATGGGCGGCTTTCTCCTGGAGGACGGAAGCCAGGAAGACGGATCGCACGAAGAGTACGACAGTGATGGAAACTACAAGGACTGACATTCCGTGCTATATTCACCAAACTTTCTTGCTTCGAATTGCTCGCAGCTCGGGAGAGGAATCGAGCAACGACTACGACAACGAAGGGAGCTACGAGGACATCGGGATTCACCAATGTTGCCTTCTTCAGATTGCTTCCCTCAGGATGGATCGAACACAGGACACGAGTACGGCAACGAAGGCAATGACGAGGAAGAAACCTCAGCTTGATTGCACTGCATCTTTTGCAATCCTGCACCTGCCGTTGCTGGACGTTTGCAGAGGATAGCGACGATGACCAGCATGACCATTTGCGTCACCCTCATCACGATGTCTCGTGGCTGTAAGAAGTGTTGCAGGTCAAAACAGGTAATTCCGCGCAATTCATGTCACGAGACGCCAGTGAGTTTCCGTTTTTCGGGAATCAGGAGCATCGTTGCAATGAAAGCATGCACATGTGCGTGTCCTGGATGCAGAAGAGCAAGCCTTGCGAGTTGGCATGCGGCAGGCTTTCAGTTCCCACTGTTCGGTTCCTGCTGGCAGCTTCGACATCGTCACTGTTTGATGTCATCATTCCCCGACCCCTTCGTCCCTAAACCCTAAACGCCTTTCGCATGCGAAGCTTCTCAGGATTCCTTGTTCGAGGACCTCGACGCGTTGCTGGCCAACTCCCGGAGCTCCGGCCTGGAGGATCAGAAGCTCTGCCTGGTGGCGGTCTCAGCCCGGAGGTCCAAAGCAGGTTCCGCAGGTTCCGCGCAGGTACGCCGAGTGCTCCGAAGAGTGCGGAGTAGGACGAGCTTTGGGCGTTGCACGTCTAGCAAGCCGGCAACCCATCCATTGGCCAGAGCATCCATGCCCAAACCATGATAACGTCAATGCTACCCATCCATTGGCCAGTGCATCCGTGCCCAAGCCTTCTATCCAAAAATGTTACCGTGCAGAAACATCGTTTTGTTTTCTGCGTTTTGGCTTGCATATGCTTGCATATTATCATAACAGATAGGACTGTTGCGCCATGTTGAGCAATGCTAACATTCAAAATTATCGGCCCTGCCATGCTTTTCCACATTCTTCGAAGCCGGGTGAAAGAACACATTGTGCAGAACCTGGCCTTAAGCCTCAATCCCGTCCTGCGGTTGCACTTCCCTGTCAACATCAAGAAACTCGGCAGTGCAGAAACATCGAGTTTTTTTTGCATTTTTTGCTCCGCAATCATCATAACGGGGACGCCCTGCTCAACGATGGTAACATGCGGAAGTATGGGCCCTGCCATGCTTATCGCGGTTTGTTCGAAGTCAAACTGGGGCAAACGACGGTGATGGACCCTAGTACTAGTACTGGTACTGATACTGGTTCGGGTACTAGTAGCAGCAGTCAGTAGTACTTGTAGTACTGGTAGTGCTTTAAGAGCTCGTGGTACTGTAGAACTTGTTGTAGTGGTGATACTTGCAGTGCTTATAGTCTAGTCGTGGTGGTAGTAGTAGTAGTAGTAGTAATAGTAGTAGTAGTAGTAGTAGTAGTAGTAGTAGGCGCGGGTGTCGTATTTGACGCCACGTTTTTGTGGCTGTCAGGACGAGTTTTCATCGACAATTACA